CAGCTCTCCATTCTCCTGGTGTGCTGATTGCACTTAACAATTCTGTGAAAACAAGTCATTGTTTCAATACTATGACTGCATAGATGTTGTTCACAAGTTATATACTGTGATTGTATTTCCTTACAAATTTGTTTTTTTTCCTAGAGCTAATAATGCCTGTTTTTAAAAGATTTGCTTAGTTTTCTGTGTATCTCTCGATATTTTTTTCCCACATAACTCAAAATGCCTTGACTACCGCTTTCCCCTCCTTCTTCTGCCTTTTCCTCTGGAGACGTCCCTGGACTGTTCCTTTCTGGGATGCCCCTTCTCTGGGCCTCTGCCATCTGTAGTCTTGGGACTTGCCTTTGCTTCTTGCCTGGGTGAGACCTGTTTTCTAACACCTCGTGTCTTTCTCTTTCTTGCTGTGTGCTCTCATTTTACTGAAGCACATCTTCTTGTGAGCAAGTGTGTGGAAAGTAAATTGTTGAGGCCTTGCATGTGTGAAAATGTCTTTATGTAACTCTCATACTTGGTTAATACTTGGGCTCTGTATGGGATTTGAGGTTGAAAGTCATTTTCTTCAGAATTTTGAAGGCATTGCTCAGCTGTCCTCTGGTATCTGCTACTGCTACTGAGATGTCTAATTCCATTTAGATTTTCATTCCTTAATAGGTAAAGTGACTATATAATTTATTGTCAAAACCGGGACACTTGGAGGTGCTTGTCTGAAAGAGTACTAGGATAACAGGCACAAACCTGGACTCTCTGGAGTAAATTAGGACATGCGGTCACCTTCTTTATATGTGACCTATTTTTTCTCTAATCATTTAGGATCTTCTCTTTACTTCCAGTGTTCCACATTTCATGATGATGTGTCTTGGGGAAGGTCTGTTTTTTCATTCCTTGTACTTGATCTTTGTAGGCTCGCTCTTATCCTTTGATTTTGGGACGTTTCCATCATGATTTCTTTAAGAATGTTCTCCCAGCCTTTGTTAGATGTTTGACATTCCGGCTTGTCCCCTAAATTTTTTTCTTCTCTCACAAATAAGCCAAGGGGATGTTCTCTTTTTGCCTTTTTGTTTCATATCTGATTTTTGTACATATATCTTTCAGTTATATAGAAATTTAATTGTTTTTAATTTTGTGTTTAATTTCTTGTTTTACTCTTTTCTCATAGCACCCTGTTCTTATGGAAGTATATCTTTTTCCGCTTTTCTAAGGGTGTTTATTCTAAGTTTTCCCTCCCTCTCTCCATCCCTTCTTTCCTTCCTTCTGTCTATGCAAGGTTTCTTTTGTTTTCCTGCATTGCTTGAGTCCTTTCGTTTCCTGTTTGTTTTGGTCTATTTCTGAGGCTTTCCATAGATGCTGATGATCCTTAACACTCTCTTCTTATTTAAGAGTAAGGCATTCAAAAGTATCTTTGTCGGTTCGATGCCTGGCCCAAGCTGAGTTGCCGCTGAGCTGCCAACAGGTAGCAGGATGGCTCAGCTAAAACAACAACAACAACAACAACAACAACAACAACAACAACAACAACAAACAGTGAAAAGTATCTTTGAAACCTGAACAGAGCTTTTGGGCTCCTTCATAATTGTGCTGTGAACTCACCTCTTGGTTGGAATACTCTCAAATGTCAGAACTTGGAAATCTTATTTTCTGGGAATAGGGGAGATTGACCCTGCAGTTACTCCAAAAAAGACTCCTTTGCTCTCCTGCTTGGGCAGTTTTATATCTGAGTGCTAGCATTCTGTGTATAGGGTGGGGGGAGGGGAGGCAGAAACTCCCAGAGATTAGCATAGTATAGTGCCTTGTCCTGTATCTCATCCCAGCCTTCTGTGCCTCATATTTCTCGGTCTGGAGCTTCTGTGCCTCATTTTTTCCAGAGTCAAACTTCTTTTCCCCCTGGTGATAAGCGGTGATTAAGGGTTTAGGGGGTTAGTCACTTGGTGGTGTGGGATAACGAGAAGGCCTAGTAGTTCTGCCCCTCCCCCTTCTCCACCTTTCTTGGTAACTGCGGTCCAAGAGCTCATCCTCACAAGCATTCTGTGGGCCTAATTAGCTCCACCCTCACCTTTATTCCCTCTGGGCACTTGAGCAATAACTTCCTTTTACTCCTCCATCTCCTATCTTTGAAAAATTTATGAAAACCTGCTCTCATTAGTTTTCCCTTTCTCTTCTTTCTTGTGGGTTAATACATTTATTTTATTTCTCTACTGTCTTTTAGAGGGGTTGAGAAGGGAGAAGAGATAAACTAATGTGTTCAATCTGCCATTTTTAACTGATTCTGGCATGCATTTTTCTAGGCAAAGTATTATAAATGCTGATTAGATGCTGAATAGTACTAGCAGTGCTATTCTTCATGCATGTTGTTATGGGTTAAATAGGTTTTTGTGGGCTGACCTGGAAACCTAACAACATCTATGATTTTCCCCTAGAACTAGAGAAACAACCAAGCTTTTCTGAGTTGACTCTCTGGAGAACTATAACAGACTAAAACAAAAATATTTCATACATCTCTCCATTTTCCGAGTCACATAGAAAATTACAAATATTGTGTCATCATTGTCAAAATTAAAAGCTCCAATAACTGTAACAGAAATCTGAATTTTAATGGAAAAGTTTGTTCATAAAGTTAAGCTATAAAATTGAATTAAATTCTTCAGCAATACCCCTACAGCTTCATTTTTTCAGCAGGTGTTTTTTTGTTTTTTTTTGAAAGCAGTTTCCTAATTAAATTTAAACCCAGTGATAGTGATAGCTGTGGGAAATAGTAATAACCATGGGAATAGTTTACTTGTATTTTCTTGCTACTTTCTAATTTCTACCTTGCACACAACAGGATCTTCTGAAACACTGGACTGAATAAACTAGACTTAGCCAGATAGACCAAGAAAACCATCTTCCTAATCATGAATGACTGAGAAGAGCTGTGCAGGCACTTGGGTAGCGAAAATGCAACCAGAATATGTAAAGCATAAAGAGCATTTGAAAGTAAACGCTGCTCCAACTTGATGCTTGAATTGCAGAGGCCACTGCAAGTGTAATAGGTCCACTGCAGTTGTGCTGCTCCAATTTTCAGCCTTCAGGAAGGGCATATGGGGCTTTCTTCCAGAGGATCACCCCTTTTGTGCCGGGGCAGCCTTCCATGAGCACTTGCCCCCAGTGGCCACGACAGCCCAGTCTCAAGGGATCAGAGATGATTAGGAAACTCAGGAACAGTTGTTGCAATCTCTTATGTGGCTGGAACAAGGTAAGGGCAGTGAGATGCAGTCATTCCATTATTTTTCTTCCTTTTTATTTTTTTATTTCTCTTCTCTTTCTTCTTCTTCTTCTTCTTTATTCTAAAAAAATTGTTTTTAGTAACCTCTCCTGCTCTCTCCCAACTTGCTTTTGACAGCATATTGACTAGGGACCAGAAGCCCATTTTTGCTTAGCCTTAAGGGCAGCTGTTTACAGAGTAGCAGTGTTACATAGGTTTACTGTGTCGTATGTCTGTGTAACACTGGATTTGGATCTTGTATTTAGCTGCCAGAAGTGACTGTGATGAAGTAGGAGAGATAAACTGATAGATTGGCTGCCAGAAAGATGTTGGGAATCAATCAGATAAACAGGCTAGAGAAATAGCTTGCTGTTTTCTAGTGATAATAAACCAGTGGCCTCTGGTCCCCACATTTTTAAACGTAATTGCTGTAATAATAATGTCCAAAATAAGCAAATGAAAAGCCATCAGAGGCAGTTTTTTAATTGCAGTTGAGATATCCCTTTCCCTTTTGCAATAATGATTCATCTTATATGGAAATTACTATTTTTATAAATTTGTTTTACTTCTTCCAGTGCCTCCTTACATAAACAAATGAAAATGAGAGTGAACTACTTTCACAGGAATTTATTCCTCCTCCTGTATCCTCTCACAGACTTCAGCTATTTACCTTGGTGAAATATCTGTATTGCTACCATACCTTACCTACAAAACAATTACTTATTTTTGTGAAGAAACAAGTTTTATAGTCAAGCCTATATTATTGACAGATGATTAGCAGGAACTAGTTTTTATTTTGGTGTCTTCCTGTACATTTCTCTCAGAAGATTTTTGGAATTTTAATTTCTGTTGCTATTTTCCTGCGTATAGCACTTGTGTAGGAGAGATGATATGTAGTTTTATTGTTGTAATTTAAAATTCTCCTTTAATGTTTAACTTTTAAATCCATTGCTTCTCTTCACCTAGGACTTTAAGATGCAATACAGATTCTTAAATCTGTATGAAAGATACAGATTTAGACTTTGATTGCGTGCAGTAGACTACCCAGGATTAAGAGGAGTGTAGTTTAGAGTTCCCATGGAGTTAATTGTGTAGGATGAGAGACTGGTTCCCTGTGTTGTATTTGCAGGATGCACATATGACTTACTTTCTTTGGGTTCCCTCTTAAAATTATTGTGGGTGTGAATGTGTCAGTGTCATATATGGTTAAATCACTTAATAGTCAGCATGGTAGAGTACCAACCATGGAAAGCAAGAGAATGAAGTCCACACTTTTAATTATATATAATAAAGGCTTTTGCCTGAGGAAGACCTTTCTGACTGCTGGAGGTTATAGGTCAGAAGTTAACCATGTACTATTATCCTATTGGTGAGAAGCTGATGCATTTTCCTTTTTGCCACACCGCCCTTCCCACCTGACCTTTTAAAGATTCTCCATTGATATCGATGAGGTGGACAAAACTAATCATAAAAACAATGAAGGGAATGTTGCACATTCATTGATCCATTTGAAATGAACTGCAGTACAATAAGTCTTCCAAATGGACTCCTGTTCTCAGCTATTGCTATAACCACCTTTTTAAAGATATATAAATATGAAAGGGTTAATGGGAATTCAGTCATGCTGTTGCCACTGGGTTGTCCCTTATTGATCGTAGTTTTAAAGCTGTCACTATGCCATTCAGGATTCCTACTGTGCCTTTTTAAAGTTAGTTGATGCTGGGAGATGATAAATAAATCAATTGCTTTCCTGTTCCCCTAGCTCCTTCGAGAACTCATAGAACGGAAGACCAGCTCATTGGATCCCAATGATCAGGTGGCCATGGGAAGGTAATTTAGATATGGCTTTCTATTCATGTGAACAGGCTGTAAAATAGTTTCTCCCTTTGAGTTCTGTTAATTCTGCCTCCAAGGCAGTGATTGACCCTATAATTATAAAGGTTCAGCAAGATCATAAGAGCTAGAAAGACAAAGTGATGGAAATCCTGATTGTTTACCCTACCTTGCCTTATGTGCAGTTTGAATAAGAGATTATAAAACACCTATATGTGTTTGTTTTAAAGTTTGTTTTTCTAAGTCCTTCTTACGCTCTACGCTCTCTGGTTTTGGGTTGTGATTGTATCTGTATCAATCTCTGACCAGTGGATAAAAAGCAACCACCCAAATGTGTGCTCTCAGCTGTCAGAATGTGGCACTGTGCACGACAGGTTCCTTGCTCATAGTCGAATCTGCTTTGTTAGAGTCTGCCCTAATTTAGACCTCCACCCCTTTAGTAAAAGCTTCAGCACAATTAGAAATGGAATGTGGCAGCATTACCCAGATGTCAGGGTAGAATGTAAAGTAGTGAAGAAAGGCTCTTGTGTGTATGCTTCATCCTGTGGTTGGAAAATAAAAAGGGCATTTAGAGTGCTACCTAATGAATAGTGTACATTTAAATAGCCGTGAGCCATAATTTGCAAAAGCATGAAAGGAAACAAAAGCTGCAAGTGCCAGAATGGGATTCTGGGCTGAGAAGCATTTTGAGAATGCAATGAAAAATTTGTGTTGATGAAATAATTCTATTTGAGTAAAACATTTGAATTTTAGGATACGATGTTGTTGATATTTGGTGTCTCTCTAGAATGTTATAGAGAGCTGTTCACTATAAATTTAATGTGATAGAGCAAATTGTATTTAAGTGGTGATTATATTGTACATTTATCTCACTTTACAATAAAATAGATTATGGTAATTAAGATTATATTAAGATTACGGTAATTGGATTTCCCTAGATTTTTTTTTTTCTGATGTCGAGTTTTCCTTGTATAAATCAGGTAAGATGACTAGCTGCTGCTGTCTCTCCTTCTTCATTATTTCACAAATGGTCATATGAGCAATTTATGAAGATTTTCTTAGCCCAGTATCCTTTATTTGAAAAATTAATTCCTTTTAATCTAAAATGACTTAAGAATATGTGAATCTTGTTGGATCCTGACTCAAACAAACCAACTGTAAAATTGAGACAATCTGGGAAATTTGAAAAGTGACTGAATATTTGATAGTAAAGAATTATTGTTAACTTTTTTGTAGGTGTGACAAAGGTATTGAGATTATATTAGGGGAGGGAGAGCCCTTACCTTTTAGCAACACATTCTGAAATATTACAGATGAAATGAAAATTAAATAAAATGACTAAAATGATAATTATAAAAAATTGGCAAAAAATTGGAAGGTACACACAAAAAAGCAGTTGGGTATTAGTTAAAGGGAAAATTAGATACAAAGAATTCATGTGTTCAAACCACACAGCGTTTGCAATATTAGTAATAGAACTTGCTGCACAGCTAAAACATTAAAATGAAATCCAAGCAGCTGTACTCAGTTTGATAGGTTTTCCTACAGACTGGTAGATTTAGTGCTTGTCACAGCAACTCCAAATACTAAGGAGCATTGTTAACCAAATTTGCTGTAGAATTTCCCAGCTGCCATTTGTTTTTTTACCATTGCACAAATCCTCTTCAATTGATTAGTCACTTTGGCCCCAGACTATCCTGAAAAACTTGATGTAGGTTGATGATTTCATTCTGCAGGGTTGTTAGTGGGAAAAATTCCAATTTGTCAATACGTATAACTATTTCTGTTAGTGATGATGCATAACACTGCTTGTGAATTTCCCAGGCAGTGGCTTGCAATCCAGAAGTTACGAAGCAAAATCCACAAGAAAGTCGATAGGAAAGCCAGCAAAGGAAGGAAACTTCGGTGAGTTACTTCTTAGAAAAAAATTTTAGCATGCGATATTATAGCTCTCTTTTTTTGCATTTTGTCTATCATGTCATTTTTCTATTTCTTCTGATGATTCTCTTTTTAAGGATGAGAAAAATAACTAAAACAATATTTGAAGCTCTTTAACAACTCAGTTTTTTTTTACTCTAAAATGGAAATATAGTTTCAGGGTTTTTTTGTTCTACTGTTGTAAATGGATGGGTTACATAATATCTGCATTTCCCATGAAGAGAAATAATAAAACAAAACAAGGCAGTTGAAATCGTCTTAATTTTAAAAAATGATTTCTATAGTACAATGGAAAAATATTATTTTGGAGTCTTATTTAGAATAGGATTATATTGGTCCATTTTCATGACGCTACATGTGTACAGTATGCTAAAATGATATATAAAAGGATTCCAGAGAATGTTAACAATATGCTTCAAAGAGATGAGAAATAGAATTTTTATGAGAAAACTGAGAAATTTCTGACAAGGAAAATCCTCAACCCTGTGAGCTCTTTAAGGACTCTCTCTCATAAGTATGCAGACAAAAGGAGGGCAAGAATAGGAAATGACATTGCTATGCTGTTAGACTTAGATTCCTTGTAACTATATATATTACATAATATTCACACAAAGCCTCAGTATTAAAGAAACTACTTGAATTTCAGGTACACATTGAAAATAATCTTAAACTTGTGTTAGTACAGTTGTAGGCAGTAGCTAATACCACATCCTTAGTAGACCCTGCCTATCATTAAATTGCCTTTAGACAAATTGCCTTTAGACAAATCTTCAGAGAAGCAGATTTCACAACTACTTTAATGAACCTGTTTTAGTATTTAACAAAACTCACCAGGAAATGCTAATTTTTATTTAACTTTGCAGAAGTTAACTATTTTCTTTTTTATAATTTTTTTTAAAAATTAATTTTATTGGAGACCAGCCATGGTCATTGGTTACACATTGCTTTCATGCTACAATGGCATAGGGAGGGTACAGCTCAGAGTGGCCCATGCAGGGATCGAACCGGCAACCTTGGTGTTATCAGCACCATGCTTTAACCAACTGAGCTAACCAGTCACCCCCCAGCTAACTTTTTTCATATGTTGAAATTTCCAAATCTCCGTACTTCTCCAGGCTCATTTTTTAGTGTAATGGTTAAAAGCATGGACTTGAGAGCCAGACTGCCTGAGTCTGAATTCCAGCTTTGACGTTGACTAGTAGTTACTTTGGGCAAGGCCCTTAAACTCTCTGTGCTAGTGTCTTCATCTGTAAAATGGGGATGGTAACAGCACAGGCCTGTAGGATTTCTATGCAAATTAAAAGAGTCAGTCAGTCAGTATATGTGCAGCTCTTAGAACAGGTACATAGTAAGCACTATATAAATATTTGTTGGCATTATTACCATCATTATTGTTGCTGTTATTATTCCAAGACGGAGCCTGTCTCCTGCTCTCGTTTCATTTACATACATGCCTCTTTTATACCTGTCTCTTCTACACCCTCCACCCCTGTATGGATTGTTTTAAAAAGGTTACTAATAGTCTTTATCATTGGCCAGGCTGAATGAGTACCTTATTCTTTTTTTTTTATTTATTTATTTTTTATTATTTTTTTTATTGGGGAATTGGGGGAAGGGGAATAGACAAGTTGCTATCCTTTTGTTCTTCAGTCTAGTTGTAGAGGATGTTGCTTCACTGGCCCATGTTGGTATTATCATTGTGCTCTTCCCGGGTGAGGCAGATCGGTCGCCGGCCTCTGGACGGCTGCTCACGGCAGCTCTTGGCAGCTCACACCGGCTGCCAGCCACACATGGTAGCTTATGGCATCCCACTGCAGCAGGGGCTGCAGCCTATGCTGTCGCTGGCGACTCATGGCAGCCCAGCTCCAGGTCGAGCTGTTGTTCACCATCTTAGCTGTAGAGGGCGCATCATCACTGGCCCTCCTGTGGTATCCGAACAGGGGCCCTGCTGCTCAGAGCTGGCATCCCAAGCCAACTCTTAACCAAACGCCACTCAGCTGGCCCTTATTCTTTAATTTTGTGATCAGGTTTTTCTCTAATACTGCTCATAAGCTTTAAAAATTATAGCTTTATGAGGCTATAAATGTTTCTAGGAGGAGCCCAGGATTTCAAATCCTGGATCTGTCTGGCTATATAGTTTTGGTTATTCTTTATTCTTTGGGCCTCACTTTTCTTATTTACTCAATGGAGATAAAAAATCGCACTTTATAGATTTGGTTTGAGGATTAAAATAATGTATAAATGTCTGGTACATAGTAAGCATTTAAAAGTTTTAGTTTCTTTGGTTTCTCTGGTGTTTGTCTATTGGCATTGCTGTTTCAAATATATGTTCTTCAAAATAATTGAGAGAGGAAAATGTGCCTTTTCTACATATTGTTATAAATTTTAAAACTACTGGGACAGGTAGCTATAGCTGTGTGTTCCTTGAGAGCAAGAATTGTGATGCTTTATCCCTTAAGACAATTCTAACCTTATTATCTACTATAGTACCTTATAGACATTAGCCAGAAAATGTTTTTGGATGATTACGACGGTAAAATTAACATGCTTATCAGGTAATGAGAAATGGCTATAACTTTAAACATTACACAGATTAAGAAATCTAGATGAGTGTTGGATAAGTGAGCATGGCTAATAACTTAGGAGAACATGGGTCTGTTGTTTCCAAGTCAAAGTAAATTTATCAGTTGTTATTTATCAGGTTAAAATTAAAAAACAGGATTTTGTTTTAATAGCAGCTGCGCTTTCTTATATTAATTTATTAAACTAACCTCATTAAACTGTTCATCAGAGCTATGTGTCACTGCGATTATATACTTCTGTTTTTGCAGCATTTTGATAGTAATTGAGATTATAAATCCCCATAAATCCATTTGAAATCTTATTCTGGCAATAGGCAAGCAGGAGAGAAACATTCTACTTATCAGGTTTAAACATTAAAAATATAAGAAGTGGCTTATTAAAATATAAGAAAGGTGACTTCTGAGGCTCTAGGAGCCATATTAGGTCCTGGGTAAGATCCATACTGCCCATGAGAAGCATGTAGTCTGGAGAGGATGGCAGACAATAAGCCAGTAAGTGACACTGTGGAAAGTGCTGTGGTAGGGGCCATCCTGGTGCAGGGGCCATCTGACTTACTCTGGGGAATGCAGACTGCTCAGGAAGATTCTCTGTAAGGTGCAACCTCCACACTTCACACTGAGCAGAGTAGGAACGTCAGCCCAGTGAAAGGCCAAAAAGAAGGTTTGCAAAATGCAGTCTTGAGAGTGTATGTGGCCATTTTGGAGACTGCAATTAATTCGTTTTGGTAGAGGCTTAAAGTGAATATGGAGCGGGAGATGAGGCTGTATGAGTAGTGAGTGCTAGATCATGGCCACGCTAAGGAGTTCGGACTTTGTAGGCTGTAGTGAGTCATTTCAGATTTTAGGCGGAGGAATGTTGTCATCACATTTCATTTGCATTTTAGAAAGATGTAAGGAGGTAAAGGAAAGTGAAAAGGTTAGAGTTCACCCTCAGGATTTCAGAAGGAACTAGGTAGATAGTCGTATTATTCACTGATATGTATAAAAAGAGAGGCTGCAGGAAGGAAATCAGTATTTTATTTTTGAGGGAGAGAGTAGATTCAGTTTTTTAATATGCTGAATTTTACACATCCTTGAGAAATCCAAGTTTAGAGACAGATTTTGAGTCAAAAGAAGGATATGGGTAATTACAGCTGTTCCCCCTTATCTGTAGTTTTGCTTTTTGTGGTTTCATTTACCCGCAGTCAACCATAGTCCAAAAAA